TTGATTTGGAGGTACAAAACCCTAATTCCCTTCAAAGTAGTCTCCGTGATAATGCACACACTTCTCCCAACACTTCTGCCATTGTTGAAAACACTTCTGAAACGCGTCTTTTGGAATGGTGATCAGCCCGGCTGTCGCATTCTGCATGATGTCTTCTCTTGACTCACTTCGGGTTCCTTTCAGCGGCATTTTCAGCTTGGGAAATAGCCAAAAGTCACACAGAGCCATGAAAGGGGAGTAGGGAGCCTGACGAACCACAGGGATGTTGTGTTTGGCGACGAAAGTCTGAATCAGATGCGCAGAATGGGCAGGTGCCAAGTTTTTGCTCCCCACAGATTCGGTTGCTTGCGCCACACAGCATCACGAANGACCAAAGTCCGCACTTGCTCAATGACATTCTCATTTCGGCTTCTTGAGAGTCTGCCTGAACGCGGTTCACTGTCCACTGATTTGCGGCCATCTTTGAAGCGGTTGTACGACTCTTTATCCGTGAGTTGCTCATGGCATCGTCCTTGAAAGCCTGTTGAATCTTGCGAATGGTTTGCACTTGGGTATCGCCAAGCTTTTGGCAAAATTTGATGCAATATCGCTGCTCATATTGTTCCGTCATTTTACACCATACTGGAATCCGACGAGCGCTGACTACATGTCCTCACTCATGGGCCAACTGCCAGCTACTGACGCTTTCTGCAGGCGGGAAAAATTCACGACTGTGCATGAATGTCCCCTCCACATCTCCACCGAAGGGAGCGTCCCGCGCTTCATTGGTTTACGCGGGAAAAAAGAAGGTTCGATACTTTTTGAACACACCACCAGAAACTCCACTTCTCTTCCCAACCTGCGGTTCACCTCTCCTTACTCCTATGCTTCCTCCTCTGCAGATGTGCTCCATGAACACAATCGTAGCTCCCGAAGAGGCAGGTCAACAAATTCATTCTTCAGCAACAACCACAGACACAGGTAAGGATCATGATTGGACAGTCATATTTTGTGATAATTTTTTGTTGCTGTGTGGCTGGTATTTGTGTTGTACTTGCTTTGGTATCTTTAAGATGGGTAGGACTTTGAAACAGGAGTATGCTACTAGTACAGCAACTTATTTGTACACCAAGTTCACTAATAAATAAATAAAGTGAAGTTATTAGGTAATGTTAACTAAGGCTGATTTGTTATTTAAGTTAATGTATATTACATTCAATCTTGTGAAGGAACAATGTATTAATGTTAAAAAGAGAAAACAAATATTATAAAAAGTTAAAGATTAATCAGGCAATTTGGAAGGTTCACAGTTGTATAAATGCAATTATGTCTTGGGTAATCAGCCACATCCATATAGAGTAAAAGTATTGCATTTTTTAGATTGTGTCTTCCTCCATCATCAGTGTCTGATGATACAGGCTGAGACAGTCTCCAAGATGTCAGACCTTTTAGTCTGTATTCAGTGTAGCCTTGCATGTGCAACCCTCAGCTGCCAGGCCACTAGGCAAACTAAATTTTTCATAATGCTGATTAGAACATTTATTACTACTAGTACATGACCAAGAGCTGGGAGAGCACAGTCCATATAGCGATTGGCTACGGGCCGGATGACAAAGGGGTCAGAGTTCAAGCCCTGGTGGAGGCAAGAATTTTCACTTCTCCATCTAGAACTCTCTGGGTGTTTGAGAATGAGATGTTGAGTAAAATGAACCCCTAAAAGAGAGGAAATAACAAGTGGGTGGAAAGTGTTGCAAAATGAGGTGTTTCATAATTTATGCTCTTTGTGAAATATTATTAAGGAGATGAAATCATAGAGACTTAGAGGATTGGGGCATGTAATATGCATGAGAGTGGTGAGAAGTGCATCCAAAATTTAGTTGGATAATTTTCAACTTCTGAAGAAGATCTCTACTTCAGGAAGTAATTAGTTGAAACAGTTTTAAACTAGAAACTGCTGCAGTGTGTAGTTAAATTGTACCGATGTTTTGTTGCAATATATCTAATGTGTATCTCATTTTCATCCAATTTATTAGTTGTTACTGAAAGAGATGAAGCCTCGTTAAACAACATAAAATAGAAACAGTAAATTGAGATGACTTAAGAATAATCATGCATGCTTTCCTTACTTTTTGCCTGTCCCACATTATTGAAGCAGCAGAAAATATGGCTTAATCTGGGACTATTCTGGAAGTGCTTGGAAGTATTTCATTGTATGTTATCAGAATGGTGATTTTATGACCTTAATGGAAGTAAAGAAGAAGCATTTAGTTTCTTTGTGTTGTACGGATGCTACTATCATTTGTACAGTTGTGAAATGAGCAGCACTATTAATAGTATTTAGGGTGTTCATTTGTTAGAGATTTGTGTTTATTATTCCAGAAATTCAAGTTCTGAAACAGAATTAAGTGAGACCAGGTTATTTGACCGAGCACAGGCAGCTCTAGAGAGATGCAAGAAAGCATACAAAGAGGGGGGCCGACGGAAATGTTTGGAAGCAACAAGAGTGGACCCAGAGAGCGTAATTGATAAAATCTTGAGATCTGTCAATTTAGAAGAAGATGAATCAGGTACCAGTAGCATAACGTCATCCTGGGAAGATGCCGAATTTCTTAGTTTATTAAATTGCTTTAACGTCAATAGAATAATGGCATGATTGTACATATATACATATCTTGGGCATAGTTTTCTGTCGTTCAATGTAACAGTTCTCACAATGGTCCCAGAAGCACGTCTGTGCCTTGATTGTTTAATAATAAAGTTTTGTTAATTACCAAAGCTGAAACAAAAATATTATACTACACTATATTTTTTAAAATTGACCCCTCTCTCAAAACTTGCCAGATCTGACTGTAGGATATGAAGTTCAGTATGTTAATACCAAAATATTCTGTTGGACATGAACCTGAGCCAGTTCCACCCATCTCTAATTGCCACAACGTATTGGCATTTCTCCGATCATCTTAAATTTATCCTTACATCTTTCTTGTTTCTCGTACTTTATTTTAGTAGCTCATATCACTGATCAGTTCATGGAAAAGCAGTAATTGTAAGATCTGTTTCAGTTACTACTTCATATTGTCACAATGTAGTTATGATAATGGGAAAGCTGTCTTTGTGCTTAATCTCCATATCATGAAGACATTGAAGGAGAGGAGTGGAAGTAAAACTTCACTCATTCTTGACTTTGATATTAGATGGAGATGAGTGATCCTTCTTATGCTGTGCCTGCTTAACCACTCAGGAATTATCCTCTATTATTTCCCTTGTATAGGAAGCTGCCTGGGCCCCACAGGTGGTGAAGACATGATGGTAAAGATCAAAATCACTATTCTTCCTGAGAATCAAACTCTATTCAATCAGCCAAAGTTCTGAAGTAAAATACAGCATCAAATATGTCTGATTCCTTCATGTTTCAGAATGAAATGACCATTCAGAAATGCTATGTTCTGCTGAGCATTCAGTCTTCCTTGCTTTTGTCCAGTAATTATGCTGTGCTATTATACGGTGATTATAAATGAAACATGGGGTGATGGTATGAATAGCAGTCCTACACTCATTATTCTAAGAATTCTTAGCAATATAATTACTGAGTCAGTTTTTATAGCAGTAATAGTCTGGACTTGTATTTGGGAGGTACCTCTTTCTAATCTTTGATGGGCTACTGACTAACTGAAGTGATGTCTCTTTCAGTTTCTCCAGTGCTTGCAGGTAATGTATTTTCAAACAACTTGTCACAATCTCCTTTCAGATCCTCTCATGCTCACCATTTGTACTCATCTGTATAAACAACAGCACCACAAAAGTAACCTAAGTAATATTCAGCTTGTTGGAAGTTAGGATGGCTCAGTCAGTGCAGCAACTAGGTTATGGGCTGGACGACTGAGGAGTTGGGGTTTGTTTCTCAGTAGAGGCAAGATTTTTTTCTCATTCCCACAACATCCAGATCAGCTTTGAGGCCCACTCACCCTCCTATACAATGGTTATCACGGACTCTTTCCCCAGGGGAAGAAGCTGCAGGTGTGTGAAGCTGACCACTCACCTCCATCTAGTGCCGAGGTTAAGAGTGGTGGAGCTATACCTCTACTCCCCCACATCTTTTTGGTATGGTGATTAATTAATTAATTAATGAAACCCAGTGATAACTTTAGCTTTTTACCTTAATAAGTTGGTTAGCTGTAAAATTCCCACCAACGTAATGCGGAACTTCCAAAGGCCTAATGCTCTATGTAGACCACAATCTGAGAATCCCTGAACTACAAGAGTGTAAGTATATCTTCTTTAACTCACTGTGCATGTATTTGCATGGTGTTAATTGTTGGTAGTTGGGTTAATAATTATGCAGAGTTAACTACTGCACAGTGAAAGTATATTTGTAATCAGAGTTAAGAGCACGCGAACACACATCACTTCACAAGAAGCCATTTTTCTTCCCGCTCCTACCCAAAACACTGAACAGCAAAACCCAAAGAATAATTCATACATGTTGCCAACTTTGAACTTGACCACATCACCCCTCCTAAAGTTCAAATTCCTGGTAATCAGTAACCAGTTACCATCTTAATCATAGAGCGAAAACAGTTAAACTTTTCATAACTTAAACCCTTTGTCAAAATATCAGCAATCTGATGTGTCGTGGGAACATATTGTACATCAATACTCTTGTTCATGTAACAATCTCTTACAAAAGTATACTTCACATCAACATGTTTCAATCTTTTATGCTCCCATCGACTTAGTAACGCAATACATGATTGATTATCTTCATATATTACTGGTTCAATGTCACAAATCTGAAAGTCGACTGATAAACCTTTCATCCACATCACCTCGGTAATAGCACTTGCTAATGCAACATATTCAGCTTCTGTAGAAGATAGGGCTACTGTATTCTGTTTTCTTGTCACCCAACCAACACAATTTCCATAAACCTGAATTAAGAAACCAGAAATAGATTTCCTATCATAATCATTTGCCCAATCTGCATCCGCGTAACTTACCAAGGGTTTCTTGGTGTTTACATCATACAGCAGTCCTATATCTGCTGTGCCTTTCAAGTATCTCAATATTCTTTTCAATCCTAACCATTGTGCTTCAGTGGCATTACTTTGGTAAC